GACAACAGAAAAGTGGGTGAAGGAAGATAGTGGTCAGTGTAAGACATGAAAAATAATAATTTATAAATTATCAAGGGCTCATACGGGAGGGAGGGGAAAAAAAATGAGGACTTGATACCAAGGGCTCAAGTAGAAAGAAAATGTTTTGAGAATGATGATGGCAGCAAATGTACAAATGTGCTTGACACAATCGATAGATGTATGGATTGAGATAAGAGCTATATGAGCCCCAATAAAATGATTAAAATGAAAGAAAGAACTGAGGACACAGAGAGGCTACGAGGCTACCAAAGAAAAGAGGAGGAGCTGTATCCTTTCTTTATATTCTTTAGCTATTTTTCATTAACTACTTTGCCTAAGTTTTTTTTTTGTTTGTATAATGATTACAATTTACAATAAAAACAAGGGCATAACATAAATAAATAAAGTGTTAAAGAGCAGAGCTATCACATTTGGGGACAAAGGTGTGCCTGGCCCAAGCCACATGGTATTTCCGATAGCCTAATCTGCATGTGATAGTTGAGGGGGGCTCCAGAAGGACTGATGCACTTGAATTAGGGTGGTGGCAAAGAATACTGGAGTTCCACAGACTGCCGGACGAACACACAGATCTGTTCAGGAAAAAATACAGCCAGAATGCTCCTTATAAGTGGTGATGGTGAGACTTCATTTCACATCCTTTGGACATGTCAGCAGGAGAGAAGGCGTCACGCTGGGCATGGTAGAGGGTCAGTGACAGAGAGGAAGATCTAGTGGCTGCAACAATGAGCTGAGGCATAACAACTGTGAGCATGGGGGAGGGCAGGCAGTGTTTTGCTGTTGTCCAAGGTCGTTATGAGTCAGGGCTGGCTCAATGACACCTAATGACAACAACGACATTTCTCAAGAAGGTCTCTGGTATTTTTCAAGATTAAGGACCATTCTAGGTTACTTAAAAAGCTCACTGCCATCGAGTTGATGCCAAGGTCGTAGCAAGCCTAGAGGACAGGGGAGAAGAGCCCTGTGAGTTCACAGCATCACCAGGGCTCCGGCGAAGGACCCGACTTCTCTGAAACTGATGTGGAGATGAACGCTCAATTAGAACGGTTCCTTTGCAAATTATATTGAGATACAGATTTTGTTGTAAAATTACATGTTGATGACATTTCAAGATGATATAAAGTGAAGAAAAAGTGTACCTGTATGTTCACTTGATAATCCGTGGGACCATGAATCGATCCATATAAACCAAATCCAACTATAGAAATTCTTCTATTAACTGTGAACCTGAGAAAAGGAATAGAAAATGTTGTCATCAAGCCAGTAAGCATTCACATTCTGAAAGATTAATTTTTTTAAAGTGTTACTGGAACAACTAATTTTGCCTTTAAAATGAAAAATGTCACAAATTAGGTGTCTTTGGGAACGTCAGCCTGCTTGCTGATAAGAACTTTCTTGTGAGGTAAACTTTTAGAACTTCTCTTCCGTAGTCTACAGTTTTGAGGGTCCAAGGAACTTATTTGGTCTAAACAGACACCTCTTACAATATTAGTGATGACCAAACACAAAGGAGCTTCAAAAAATGCGTGGCAAAATGGAAGAGAAAGATAACAGAGCATTTCCATGAACTTTTGGAAGCCGCCTCATGTGTTTGCTTGTCTCCTCCTTGCACTCAGACGGCTCAACCACTAGGCCTGAAGATCAGCACCCCAAACTATGGCAATTCGCTCGTTCAGTCAACCCTTCCTGAGGGGCTAGCGCACTTAGGTAGTAGGCTTAGCACTAAGGAAATAATGGTCAA